CAAATCAAGAACTGTTTTGACTAAAACTGTCGTCCCGAAATATTTCTTGGTCATTTTCCTCTTGCTTCCTATTGACAGATTCCATGAAAGACCATGAAACTTGAGATCTCTTCGCTCACGGACAAATTTGCATTTTCCTTCTGAAATATGACCCGCGTGCTGATTTGCACGCATACGAAAATATTAATATTTAGCGATTTTTATCTTTCATCTTAGTTTTTGAGTAAAAACATAATACGCACCTATAGCTTAACTTCCTTTCTTTGTTTTCTCTTTTTCTTTTTCGGACACAATAATCATTTTCCTGCATATATACATTCAAAAATAGAAGCATTGACTCCGTAAATGAAATATACATTGCAAGAGACAAAATTGTATTCGGAGATTGGGCAAACTTTAATTCACGGATGAAAAACGTATAGTTTTAAACTCTTTTAAGATTATCTTGGCTTTTTTTTTCACCCCACCACTATTCTTAGCAACAAAGGTTGCCATTTGGTTGTTTTGTTACTCGCCAAAAACCATCAAATGCACTTAAAAGCCTAAAATCGAAAAAAAGTTTACAGGAATCGACCAATCGAGCGAGCGAGCGAATGCCATTCTTACGTCATATCTACAACTCGTTCTTGCGCATGCGCGCAATTCACGAGTTGAAAAGGGGGCAGCAGACTGGCTTTTTTCCCTGGACAATTGTCAGGTCAGCACGCAGGGTCAAGCGTAATTAGTCATCGACATGGTAGATGATTGTATTCGTTGAAGCAGTGTTGTAAATATCTTATAAGTTTCCTTGTCACGCTAGTGCTGGGGTGAATAATAGGCCTGATTTTCAACATTCTAGTGGATAACTGCATCTTTAAACTGCTGGGAAGAAAACACGCTTTGGCGATGGAGGAGTTTTTATTAGCCAATACCCTTTTAAAAAAGAACGTGAAAGTCAATAGTACTAGTGAAGCACTTCCGTGTCAAAGGAATATCTCATTGACAAAATATCTGATCCAAAATTCAACCGAAATCAAATGCGGAGGGCTCTTTATGTCAATTGAAATTTAAAAACCTCGAAGCCGCAGCTACCAATTGTTATTGCTGTTTCGAAATTAAAGGCAGGTAGCACGTATGAAAAATGAAATTGTGGAATTCTGTTCCTTTATTGAAACCGCGATAATAGTTCTCAAAATACTTAATAAATTTTATTTCCGTGCAATGTTCCAGCTGATATCATATATCAGATAACACGATTAAACGATATTTTGTGTTCATTTGTGATTATCGAGTGGTGGTTGATATCATTTTAACGAAAGTGTAAATCGCTTCCGAACGACAGCACATACGTTGGCGGTGGAATTGAGGCACTACTAGTCTGTCTAGAAGGTGTTGTTTGCTTTCTTTTTTTTGCGTTTTGCATACGAAGTTTATCCCTTGCAGGTCTTCTCGTGCTCGCTCATATACCTGCCATCCTCTATATATGTATTATAACTAATATATCGTTGTGATTTGGAAACGCCATACAATGACTAAAATCTAGGCTTAATTTTTACAAATGTTATCAGAGCATCTGTAATGCTGGGTTACTTTTCTGTGGGCGAGTCGAATGGAATTAATCATGCAGTTAACTAGTCTCGAACGTTTTTCGTTTAGCTCTCCCTCAGTGTCTCTATCTGTATCCCTATCTGTATCTCTATGCTATCCTAATCTCTTCCTCCTCTATGCCTCCAAAGCTTAGACTAATTTGTTCCGAATATAATTATTTTACAATCATGCCTCATCGAAGTTTGATCAAGAAGGTCTTGAAAACCTTTAGTTATTCCTTAGATCTTTCAGTTCCCTCTCGATGTAGAGTCGAACTGGAACTCGGGTTCAGCCAATTTATTTAGGAAATTTAATGCGTTGTGAAACTACGAGCAAATAAAACGTGAAAAATGTATCATTAAGTCGAGAGTCGACAAACGAACACTTATGATTCCTCAAAAGCACACGGTGCATTTATTCTATGAAAAGTTCCCTTATGAGTGACCCTAAATGAAGGATTTCTTCGTATCATGAGCGATAGAAAACCAGCTATTCTGAGCTTCACAAATTCATCCAGATGTAACTTTAACCCAATAATTTTTGGTGAACTTTGTTTAGTAGTTCAAGCAATTCTTGTGTATCCGGAAATTCCCGTAGGTCTCGCTTGACAATATGCCTGTTACTGGTTGGGGCTGTAGTGGGGCCGGTTAATAGGTTCTCTATTTGCTTCAAAATGACCAGCGTTTCCTCTGAAAAAAAAATAGAAAAAGAAAAAAAGAGTCAAGAATAGTCTTATCACTGTTGCCTTATTTTTTTTTTCTTTTTCAGCTTCATTTCACAACTGATTTATTTAGAAACCTCTTGCCATACTTTCAAGCAATCAAATCTGAAATTAGAACCAGTCGCTATTGGGTATGGGTTTAACGACATTTCATCTGAAGGCCCTTTATGAACAATGTCATTTTAGGTATCCCAGATTATGTGCCCAAGGTCTTTTTGGTCTTTTTATCCGTCGTAAATTCAAAGTAATTTTCTATTATTATTATTATTTTAAGAGGATCTAGATATGAAAAATTCACGTCAAAGACTTGTTTTTCCTAAACAAATTTTTAATGTTAATTCCCGAATATAATAAAAATGTTGACTAAGAATTAATTGAACTCCTTGATTCACTTACTTTGAAAGCTTGCAAAATCGTTGGATGAAATTAGTCCTTAAAGTAGTCCTTGAAGCCGAAGAAAGTTTTAGTTTTCTGTTGTAGGCCTGTAATGCTGTAAATGAAGTTGGCTAACAGATGATTTGCGTATTAGGACTAATTCATGCTAAAAGTTTAAAACACCTTAAGTCGATTAAGTTTTCTAGTCAAAGATATATAAGGCAAGCCCTTTAGATTTTAAAGAGACTGAGAAATCTTTGATTTGTTGTATAACATTTGACTGAGTATGCTCAACAGGTTTTTATCTGGTATTTCTGGATGCCACGGAAGAAACTCCACGATACCTGGATGTATGCCACAGTAACTCATCCGCACCTCAGACGAATGCGACCGAAGCTGCAGGCGGAAAGAAACCAAGGAGACGTGCTACTCTCCCTCGCCTCCCCCACTATCAAGCCCTTGACCCAACAACAACATCAATGCCAAGTTATGAACCAATAGACGCTGAACAGGACCTCACTGATAGCGGGTTGTATGAGAAGTTAGATTTTAGGTCCATGAAAAGTGGCCATGAATATGTTTTTCCTGAGCGACCTATTCCTGAATATCTCGAGCTTGTAAATGACACCCAGGTGCCACCTGGAAATACCGCGTAAAATGTGCAAACGAAGGGGCCTGGAAAATACTGTTATAGACCAATGGAAAATGGCGAATCCAATAATGTTTTAAATAATTCTTTGCCACAAGACTACGTCTTGATTGAAAACGGAATGCACAGAAAAGCCTTAAATAGCTCGACGCCACAGGATTATGTTCCAATGGATGCATCGAATATGAGACCTCAATGATAGCGGGTTGTATGAGAAGTTAGATTGAGGTCCATAAAAAGTGGCCATGAATATGTTTTTCCTGAGCGACCTATTCCTGAATATCTCGAGCTTGCAAACAACACCCAGGTGCCACCTAGAAATACCGTGTCAAATGCGCAAACGAAGGGACTTGGAAAAGATTATTATGTACCTATGGAAAATGGCGAGTACAATAATGTTTTAGATAATAATTCGCCACAAGTCTACGTCCTGATGGAAAACGGCATGCAATGCCTCAAATAATTTGAATAGATCAACAAAGTTGAAATGGTAAATTGACCACCGTTACGATTATAAAAGCTGGCGTTTCGAGCGTTAGCCCTTCGTCAGAGCGAATAGAGGAATTGTGGGTTGTGTGTGCTTTTAAAGGCAGAAAATGGAGCTACGTTATTGGTGGGAACATGGCAATGAGAAAAACACGAATAAATTAGTGGAATGAAAAGCGTTCG